ATTGGTGCCGCTTCTGGCCTCAGTGGTTTCTGATGAGAAATCTGTTGTCATTTGGATTGTTTTTTTCCTGTAGGTAAGGTATCACTTCTCTCTGGCTGCTTTCAAGATTTTTTTTGTTTATTTGTTTTTAGTTTTTAGAAATTTCATTATATATCTTGGCATGGATGTATTTGGACTTTTGTTTGGAAGAATCTAGCTGTTTGAATTCAGTAAGCTTTGCGAATCTGGATTTATGTGTCTTGCCAAATTTAGGAAGTTTTCAGCCGTTATTTCTTTGAATACTTTTTCAGACCCATCCTCTTTTTTCTCTCCTTCTGTGACTCATGAAAGTTAGATTTGTTTTTTTTGTTTTTTTTATAATCTCAGAACTCCATGAGGCTCTATTAATATATTTTCAGGCTATTTTCTGTTTGTTGTTCAGATTAGATATTTTCTATCATTTTGAAGCCCAGTTCATTGATTGTTTCCTGTGTCCCATTTTGTTTTGAGCCCATCCACTGAGGTACATACATCAGTTATTGTATTTTTCAATTCCAGAACGTCCATTTTGTTCTTCTTTATATCTTCTTTTTCTTTATTAAGCCTTTCTTTTTGCTGAAGATTTCTCCTTTTCATTTGTTTCAGTCATGTTGTTATTGCTTGTTGAAGCATTCATGATGGCTGCTTTACAATCTTTGTCAGATTTTTCAGACGTCTCTATCATCTTGGCACTGGAATCTGTTGATAATAGTTTTTCTTTCTGTTTGAGATCTTCCTGGTTCTTGATATAATGAAGGATTTCCGTTTGAATTCTGGGCATTGTTTCATTGTGTTATGAGACCTTAGATTTTTATTTAAATCTCTTGTTTAACTCGTCTCTGCTCTCGGGCGCTGCTCCGTGACTGCTGGGTGAGATGGAAGCCCAGGCTGCCCGCCGAGCTCCCATGGACACCCAGGGCCAGGGCTAGGGCTGTTCCTTGTACTGCTGGGCCGGGATGAGAGTCCCGGTGTCCGGCCTCCCATACCCCATGACCACATGTCCCCACGGGCACTGTGGCTCCGTACCTGGCCTTGGGACACCACCCTGCTGGGGGCGTCAGGGAACCTCACTGCAGCCTCGGAAGGGTGGTGGTCCGGCTCCCCACTCAGCCTTTGCTGGCATTGGTGGCGTGAGGCCACAGTTTTTCCTGTAGTGTTTGCCTGGAGTAGAGCAGTTTTGTGTAAAACGTTTCTCTCTTGCTGGGTTGCCCTTTCCTGGTTCGATGACTTGAGAGAGCAGGCTGTTGTTGGGGCTTCTTAAAATCTGCCTCCATTGGCATTTCCAGGCTGCCAGCTTGTTCAGCTCCAATTCTGGGAAATACGAGGGAAAAGGAAAAACCCAAGGGACTCATCACTGTGTCATTCCTCAGGCCCCAAGATCCCTGGGCAGTTTGCCACCTTCTCTACACTTTTCAAAGTCTTCTTACGTTTCTTTTCTATGTAGTGTCTAGGGTTCTAAGTTGTCCTGAGCAGGCGGAATGGGGAAAAGTACTTCTACTCCATCTTCTTGGAAGCAGAAGTCCACCTTGGTGTTAAGCGTCATTTTTTGCACATCGAATTCTACATTAGACAGTTCCTTGTTTCTGTGCTCCTGCCCCAACACTGTGAAGATGGTGACCTTTGGGGTTAAGGAACCTCGTTTCTTAATAGGGAGTTTTTCCTTTCTTGCTGATTGCTTTTACAGTTTAATATTGACTCTACCTCATTCTCTGGTTTGTTTTTTTTTTCCATTCCAGAATATGTACTAGACCTATATGTTGGACCTTTCCCTTCAATTCTGCATTTTTCTTAAACTCTCATATTTTCTCTCTCTTCATTTCTTTGTTCTGCCTCCTAGTAATTTTCTCCAGTCTGGATTGCAGTTCACTAATTTTCTCCTTAGTTTTGTTGATTCTACTCTTTAACTCACCCACTGACTATTTATTTTTAATGACTGCAGTTTTTATTTCTAGACAGACACATTCTGGAAATCTACCTTTTCTTTCATACCATTTTTTATGGATTCATCTTTTCGTATGGATTCAGTTCCTTTTTTATGGTATTAATCATCCTGAGTATACTTTGTCAGCCTCTTTTTTTTATCAGATTCTTGAAATTGTAATGTCTTTGGATTGCTGACTCACTCATGATGGATTGTTTGAATGTTTTGTAATTTTAGATTGTGAGGATTGCTCGTCTTCAGAGGAGCTGTAAGCATGGGTCTCCTATGTACCCCGGTTTGAGGATGTGTCCTTCCAGAGTGACCTGCATTTGCATCTTCCAGGCATCCTGTTGATATCACTTTCTAAGGCCTTTTTTATTGTTTTAACTTTCTTGACTTGGAGGTTCATTGTCGACATGTTTTTTAAGTTTGAATTTCACACTCACCTGTGGAGCCAGCCCATGATAAATCTTCAGAGCGTAATGTTTTTCTGCTGATCCTGCTGAGAGGTCGGGCAGAGTCAGAGAAGGTTCCTTGTCCTCCTGAGCTGGTGAGAGGATTTTTCCAGCCTGTCCTTCACTTGTTCAGATTCAGCTCTCTACTCCTTCCTTCACATGGGCACAAGCGCTTGAATCCTGTCCCACAGATGTTAAAACTCAATACTGACAACCCTCCATCTGGGGCCCCTACTGCTTTTTCCAGTTCCAAGCATCTAGAGATTTCCTTTTCTTTCCTAAATGGTCAGCTATGTGTCTTTTTTTAATATATTTTTTCCAGCATTTCTAGTTGTTTAACCCAAGAGGGTTTTCAAAAATAGGGTTTTCTATTTAAGTATGAAAACTTACCTCTTGGAGCTACAAGATTCAGAGTGTGAAGAGTTTTTTGGAGGAATTAAATATTTTTACATATGGAAATTACACATCTTACTTGTCTTTTGTCCAGCAAGGTGCAAGTCAGTTGATATGTTACCCTTTTACCTGTTGAGGTTGTGGTATAATCTGGAAAGCGATTACCATAATAGAGTCCATTTAAGCAAAACTTCCAAAGCAGAAAATAATAATGGCACAAGCATTAAGCCAAAGACTGTGCTTAGATCTATTGAGTTTTTGTTTCAGGATTAGATGGATTTGTGAAACTCCTTTTACTATGTGCACATAAAACATGAGAAACATTTGCATTTGTATGTATAAATTATTTTTGCTCTCAAGACTTACTTTTGCCTATATTATTGGCAGCATCTTTACCTGGTTCTCATCTTCCAGTGTTTACAACCTATGTAATATATTGGGCTTTATTTCTTAAATAGAAGAGGATATTGAACAAGATTGAGAAATTTCAGTATTTTCATTTTAACCTGGCAATCTTAATTTCTTGGGCTGTAAAAGCTGTTCAGCGACAATGATGAGACTTGCGTATTTTATTTTGTATGTGTGGTAAAGTATACATAGCATGGGATTTGTCATTTTAAAATCAACAGTTCAGTGGCTTTAAGTACCTTCACATTGTTGTACAACTATCGCCGCCATCCATCTCCAGAACTTTTTCACCTTCTCAAACCGATACGTATATCCATTGAACCCTGACTCCCCATTTCCCCTCTCCCAGCCTCCTCGCAGCCAGCCTTCTACGTTCTGTCTCTGTGAGTTCGACCACCCTGGGCACCTCATATAAATGGACTCTTCTGGTATTTCTCCTTTAGTGACTGGCTTAGTTCACTTAGCACAATCAAAGGTCATCCATGTTGTAGCCTGTATCAGAATTTCCTTCCTTTTTAAGGCTGAATAATATTCCAATGCATGTATGTACCACATTTTGTTTATCGTTGATCTGTCAGTGGATATTTGGGTGGCTTCCATCTTCTGGCGACTGTGACTAGTGCTGTTATGAACACTGGTGTGGCATGCTTTCAAAACAGGCAGTGAGATGCATAAAACTGTAGGTATTTTTAAATGCTAACAATTGTGAATAGCACTATCCTGCAAGTTTAATTGCCTGTAACTATTTGAAAAGCACGAGAGGTTGAATAGGCTTGACCTTTGGGTGATAAGGAATGTAGTTCTTAGGAACAGGGCTGGACCAAGCACCAGCAAACAAATTGACCGTTTGTGCTTCGCTGGGTGGGTGGTGGGGGGGAAGGAACCAGGGCTGGGCGCGCGTGGTCGGGTCTGAAACAGGAGTGTGGAGGTGACACCTTCAGAGGTGCCCCCGACAGAACCAGGAATGTGGAGCAGGCCCTTCAGGGCCACGGGCTGAGCCTGGCAGCCGGGGGTCAGCAGATGTGGGTCGGGGTCAAAGTGTGAGGGTGGAGAGGGGCTTGGTGCCTGCAGCGCTAGGCTGAACAGAACTAGAGTTCTTCGCCAACAGAAAAAGCAAAAGGAATCACCAAGCCAGTGTCAGGCTACCGATGCCCCATCATTCCGATTCACAGATTCCATTCTAGAAGCCTCTATTTCCAGTTTATGGAAAGTAGGATCCCAAATTAAATCTATTCCCCTGTGTAAAGAAGAAGTGAAGAGCTCTCTCTATATTGAATGGGACAAATATCACACGCGGAGTACTGACCCAAACCCCTGGGCTTAGGCCGGCCTTCCCAAAGGTCACAGACACAGGAATGAAGGCAAGGCCACAGAAGTCTACAAGTGCAGGGAGAACTTATACCTGTTTGTGAAAGAAGAAAGGAGTGGACTTCTCGAAGCCTGTAAGTCTACCAGGTTTTTTCTTTTGTACAGAACAATTGCAATTTCTAGGCGATTTTTGCTTGTCACTGTGTGTGTATTTATTTGAATAGCAAAGAGATTTCAGTCATTACAAGAGGAGTTTTCAAACTTCCAGTATCAAAAGAAATTGTCCCCAGAGCAGTTTGAAAAGGCACTGGGTTAGCATATAAGCCATGTATCGAAAAGTTGGAAAGGTTAAGTCAGTGTGTTTATTGCCATTTTCACAAAATATTCAGTTACCTCTTTTTTATATTAACTGAGATTTCATTAAATTTTATGATTGTAGTCTAAGTTCGCGGCACCTGCTCTAAAGTTCTGTTTCACGGTCTCTTTCTGTTTTTCAGATTTTTTGTTTAAATTCTTGGTTATTGGGAACGCGGGGACTGGCAAGTCTTGCCTGCTTCATCAGTTTATTGAAAACAAATGTAAGTGACGTCACATGGTCAGTGTTTCTTGCATGTCTTCTCCCGAGAGCGCACTCTTGTGCAGATTTGTTTAGGACAAAACTTCCGAATACGTTTCCAGGGAAAATGTCATAGTTTAAAAATATTTTTAAATGACATAAAAAGTTTATGTTATTAAACGTTTAGTAATCTGATTTTTTACTTAGCATTTCAGTTGCGTAGTGGGTCATTGTTCATTATGTAGTGCATTGTCCTGTACATTTTCCAGACACTAAAATACAGTATGATGCTGTGGAATTCTGTTTCCTGGCAGGAGTGGCCCGAGAACCCTAGTTGTACATTTTGGATAAGATAGCATTTGCTCCCCAGCGGCCTTGTATTGTCCTTAAGGCAGCTATCGTCATCAGTCCTGTTTTACAGGTAAATAAACAGAGGTTTACAGGACTTGGTGTGTGCACTTGGGATGGTCACCTAGGAACGGTGCATGTTAGACTCAAACTCAGGCCTTTCGACCACAGAAAATATCTTGTACCGTTGACTTGCCCTGTGTTGGTGAGAGAGGTTGAATTTTGTATTCCAAGCTACTGTAAAAGACGGTAGGTTTGAAAGGCCCTTAAAATAAGCCGTGCTTATGTAGTAATGGAAAGAATTGTGGAGAATGACGTGTCTGTCTAGAGGCAGTCAGGTGAAGGCCCGAGCACAGAAAATTAATCTCACTTAATGAAGCGCCTCTTAAGTAAGAATGTGTGAGATGCATTAGGTGGCGGGCGGTGGAGACAGAGGCAGCAAAGGGCGTCCTGGGAAAGAGCTCTGAAGAATAAGATTCTGGAAGCGTTTTCTGCTGCTTCCATTTCCATCGACCAGGAGCTTGTTGGAACCTTCATGTAGTGACACGGACCCAGCGTGGCTCAGCCCCTCTTGAATTTGACGGGCGTTCACCCGCTGGGCGGCCTGGGGTTCTGTACGAGTTACCCAGACTTTGCATTGCTCCATCCCAGAAGAGGGGACGCTGGGCCAGGTGCCCGGCCTCGGCGGACACTCTCCCTTCACATCCTCCCCTCACCCCTCACGCCCACAGTAAGGACATAAGGAGGCTTCACTGTATTGCTCTCGTAGCTGTGTCTTAATCAGGATGCCCTTGGCCTTTCGTTACTGCCTTTGAAGGCTTCTCCCGCCAGGCTGGCCGAGTAGCTGGACACCAGCGGATGTCCACGCCGGTCTGCACTGTCTGGGCCTGAGACAAGCTGCTGGAGTCAGACCCTTTCCTCCCCCAGGCCCCCAGGGAGCAATGAACAAACACAGCTGTCAGATGGCGCCCTGGTTTCTGGTACAATTAAATTTTATCCTATAGTTATAAAATATAAACCAGTCCATGGACTGTGTAGCCAGGATATTTGTTTTTTCTTTTCCTTTCACATCACAGAAATTTTCTTTTATAAGACAGCTTATTCCAGTTGGGTTTAGCAAACTACTTATTTTGCCAACCTCCCTGCCCATTCAGACAGTATTGATTTCTCCAGCAAATTCATTCCAAATGATTGCCACACACAATACTCGAGTTCATGAAACTCAACAGCTGTAATGTGCATAGAGGTCTTGGTTTGGGGTGTGTTTGTTCTGAGTTTTTACTCTATCTTTTCTTCTTTTTCCCTTAATCTTGGGTGAGCATCAAGTTTCTTTCTTGGGCCACGGTGCCTTTCCTTCCCTTTACTTCTATTTCTTTAGAATGTTCGTCCGACTAGTTGAAACTATCATCGGCCAAGTTGCAGTCTGTCACTGGGCAGTAAGCCCTCCAAGATGGTACCCAGTATTTTGTGCAGTTGCCATTCACGAGAACCTTAGCGGTGGTCAGGTAGATGTGGTCTTACATGGCGTGGCCACCAAGCCTCAGCTTTAAATACATGGCTCGTTTAGGTGTTTTGAGAAGAAGCTTTATTGTCTCTTTGAGAACAGGAACTGTGTGTATTCTGTTTAAAACAGTGAGTGCTTATTAGCATCTGACTGTTGGAGAAATGAATGGCAACAGTAAATTACATTTTCCATTGACAGCACTCTTGATTTCAGTGTTACTTGTATAAATCTATAAGCCTGTTTCCCTAACGTTCTAAAATAAAATTTCTTTTTCTTTTTCAGTCAAAGATGACTCAAATCACACAATAGGAGTGGAATTTGGCTCAAAGATAATAAATGTTGGTGGTAAATATGTAAAGTTACAGATATGGGACACAGCAGGCCAAGAGCGATTCAGGTAGCTTTTTCTCTAACTTAATAAAAATATTTGAAAAGTGGGTTTGAAATAATCAATTATATTCTCATAATGTATGTGGTCCCCTCCTCCCTCTTCACACCCTCACAGATTTTAGAAAGTTCACCTCTGGAAGCTTTAAGACAAGCTAAAAGTCAGTTTTTCTCCACATAGCATTGATTTACGAAAGAATACGTTAGAATCTCTTCCGAGTGCACGCATCCTAATTTGGAGGCAAATTTATTCTTTGGGACCTAGTGGTACATTAGGAGGTCGTGGCATTGCATATTCCACACATTACTTTTGGATTAAAAGCAAGGCAAAGTAGTAGCACAAACAATTTTTCTCTGTATTTCACTTTAAAAGGAGAATTTTTTAAAACCTCTTTGGGGGTTGGTTTTGCTTTACATTAAAACATTCCGCAGAATATTCTCTCCTCAGCACTTGCATTACGCTGAAGTCATGATTGACGTTTGGAATGATGACCACAGTCCACAGCAGATAGGTTCCATGTTTGATATTCTGTAACTACTAAAGCAGGAAAGTAGATTAATATTTTAGTTGTGTTTTTTTGAATAGATACAGAAAGTCAAACAGAACAGATATTCACAGTTACAAAATGCAGTTAAATAAAACTCAATCCCAGTGCAAGCATTTCACTTAAAGTCAGGTATAATATTTTAAATGCGCAATAATTGTTTGCTTCAAAAGTATCGTAACTAGAGCTTCCCTGGTGGTGCAGTGGTTGAGAGGGCCG